GGGAGAGAGTGGACGAGACAGAGAGTGAAAGCGAAGCACAGGAGACTTGAAAAAAGGAAAAGAGTGAACGTGATAGGTATAATAGACTAACAGTAACAGAAGGAGGAGTGAGAGAGACACAGAGAAAGTGGAAGAGAGAGACAGACAGACAGACAGACAGACAGACAGACAGACAGACAGACAGACAGACAAGTTCGAGTAAGTTATTCAAAAAGCCCACACTGACATGTACCTACTAGATCTATAGATCATCATTATATCTGAGATACAAAATACGTATATTTGGAAAAAAAAGTATCGTTTTGGAACAGCCCCCTAGAGTGGCCTTTTAGAGCAACAAGGCACCCAAAAACGAGTTCACTCCAACTCCACCCCCACCCCATCCCATCCCTCAAAACACTTGGGATAATTATAACAGAGCTGCGAAAAAGTAATATTCAGTGCCCCACTAATTGAATGTAGGCCTTTTCAAAGTCAAACAACGCCTGCTTTCATAATTTTGGAAGTCAAGTTCTTTTTTCAATCTTTTTATTCACACAATTTTCACATGCTTACAATGTAATCGAAATTTGAAATAATATATTTTTTATGAATGTGATCAAACAGAAGAAAAAACTGCATAGCATTCGCTAGCAATATAATGAAATAAAGAGCAGGGTGTCATATAAAATTAACGTTAAAGCTGTGACTGCATCAAACGCTATCAATCGTCCACGTCTATCAATCTGATATCGCCAAAATATGAAAGAATAACATTTACCAAATCTTTTGTTTCCTTTCTTATAGAGAGATCTTTGGTATTAGTAGTATAATATATTGTACTGCCAATTTAAAAACTTTAATTCTCTTTCTGGAGTAGATCAGCTGATGTCAATTAAGAAAGACAGAGATTTTTTTTTGGAATCAATACCAGCATATTATGAGTTTTAAAAAAACCTTGTTGGGATTTTTATTCACTTTTTTTTTGTCTAGCATGTGTTTCTGAACATAATTTTAAAAAGGATCTGAAGCAAAAACATCTGGTATATTTCTGGCATTTAAAAAAAAATAGAAACATATATATATATGCAGGTGACTACAGATCGTTTGATTTGAGAGAAAAAATTATCAACTCATCTGAAGTTCAACTTAACCTTTGGGACCTGCCAAGAAGAAGAGGTGCTGAGCCTCTGACCCGAGAAAAAGATCATCCCAACTTTGGATCAACTCAACGAGTTCAATACAAGCAGTTTGACTGTATAATCCCCCAAGGAAAAGAGACATCTATTGATGTCAAATGTGCAGTTATCGGTTATTTTGGGGATTTGACACTGCTATTAGAGCAAAGAAAATGTGTCCATCCAACTTCACTCTGGGCAAGAAGTTGTAAGCCTTGAATTTTAGATCAAAAGGAGTCGGAATGTATTTATTCAGCTATGATAAGAAACGCTGGAAAAGTGTACTTGTAATAAATCACTGCACCTGCTTTTGAGTAATAAATAAAGGCAGCGTAAGATAAGTGAGGCAGCGTGGTGGAATCAGGCTCTCGTCAAAATAATCAAAGTGAAGAAACATGCATTTTTCAGCAGGTTTGTGAATTTTTATCAAATTTTCGTTTTTTGGCTGAACACCTTTCATGCCCATTAAAGAACTCATTTCTGGGTGAATTTTTCTGAAAAACGTTGATTAAAGGCATAAAAAAATGTAAAATTTTCAGTAACCACGTACTCTTAATCTAAGGAAATAACTAATCTTTTGCGGCCATTTTCTCATTAATTTTACCTCTGAAAACAGGTGACCCCCCCCCCCCCTCCTTTATTTGCAAATATCTCGACTTGCATTCAAGATAAATGGATATTTTTTTCATCCATATAAAGACAAGTGAACAAGCTTTAAGATGATACCAATAACTCTACATGCCTCAAAATTGACAAGAGCCTGATTCCACCTCGCTGCCTCACATAATGTTTTTAGCCCTTTTAAAACAGACATGAGAGACCGTTTTATTGCTTGAAACGTACTAAAGGGTATAATGAATTCTTTCCTCCATCTATATATATATTCAACAAACTGGAAATGAAGTAAGAATGCATCAAATGAAATGTATGGTATGTGATGTAAGGCATGTGTAACAAAAACATAAATCAACATTATTCTGTGTCATGCCTGATTAAGAACAGTATAGCACCTTGTGAAAACAAAAATTCATCAAAATTACATGAATCACAACAGCTGAAAAGGAATTTTGCTTTAATTATAAAAAGAAACCAATAAAATCGAAAGACACTAAAAAGTAACTGCTGTAAAGAGGCAAAAGCCTTATATTTCTTGTTCAAATTCAACCTCTCGAAATCATTCAACTCAATCCAGCTCCTCAAAAGAATTGACAATTTCAAAGCTCTCTGAAAATCTTGTCTCTAGGGTGATCATTGTAAGTTTTTCATTTCTTCAGTATCAATGGTCTAGCCTTAATATCGTAACCCTCACTTAGTGGACGGATTTTCTTTTCAGCTGTTGGAGGCACAGAGCTTTCATTATATCACTCGCTTCCTCAAGGCTATGGTAACATCTACCAGAGTTAAATACAAATGTACTGCTAGTTTCTACAGCATGTTCCCTGAAGGAGAGTCTGTCCTCTTTCTGCTCATCAAGACACAATCTGAGCATTCTTCGCCACAACTTCGGACTGGTAGTGATTCTTGCAGTACAGAATCTTCTCTGCCTGGGCGTAGTTCTGGAGGCTGAGAAAATGAGAGAAAAAAGTTACATATTAATTAAAGGAAAAAGCTTGCAATTTTTGTGTACCATCTATTGTTAGCATGGTGATAACTACTGCAGCATTAATTGCTGACGTTCATCAATTTTTTTCATTTCTTGATTTCTTGCAAAATGGACATCAACACTTGAGACAATATTGTTGCCTACCCATCTTTCAGTGAATCACATTAGTCTGTTTATGTACATGTTCATCTTCACGAGTATAGATATAATATTATATTAACGTATGTAGGCTTAAAAAAAAATAAAAGTTAAAGTCAGTTCTTATACTATACATGACATACAACTGAAAAATCTCTACTGTGCATTCAACCAGAAACTGAAGTGTATGGACATTTTAATATGGTAGCCTTAGCCTACCATATATCATAACAAGGAAATTAACACGACGTCTTTCACTATTGTTCTAAAAGTCATTATAATTAATAAACGAATTGTGTCCTTTGATTGTTTCAGGCCGCCTTGTCTAAGAGTAGGACAAGGAGCTCAAGTATCCTGATATAGGATGTTTGTCTCTTGGCAGATGATATGTGGGGTGTTTTTGTTGTTTGTTTTTTTTAAGAAAGTTTAGGGAGGAGGCATAACACTTTAGTGTATTCATGACATTTCAATTCAGGTAAAAAAAATATTTTATAGAATAGAATCAGATTACTGAATTAAATCACTTAAAGTTTCAAAGAGAACTTCGTACTAGAAATACTCTTAAATGTGAAGAATACAACCCCAAGGGTACAAAATGACCCCAGGGCGTACAGATAAGGTTAAAAACTTTCAGGGCTGTGCACTTACCTCAACGACATCTTGCAGTGTGAGCACTTGAAGCAGGTCTTGTGGAAGGGTACCCCTCCAGCTTCAATCTTCTCCTGAGCATACACGGTCTTATCGCAGATGCCGCATTTTTCACCGCCTCCCTGTTAGAAATATAAAAAAACAAAATTTATAAATATAAACAGAGACAGAACAGGAGAATTACAATGGCATGCCCATTACAGGCTGCTACGTTACCTTTTTTTAAAAATTGAATGTTCCTACAGGACAGTGATGGTACATCTAGCATGTACATATCACGGAATTGATGGAACCCAGATATCTTTTCGATATATGTGCGAATTTTGTTACGAGCTTTAAGTACAAAGAAAGTAATGTGATTAAAAGTTTGGAACCTGAAAATCAATTTGCTATCCAAGAGTTGATCGCTATGAACATGCTTGCCCATATGTGTGTATGCTAGACTGTAGTTTGGAAAAAACAAGTCACAGAGGAGGACTCTTACTGGGAAGCCTCAAAGTCAAAGGCCTTCGAAATAGTTAGAGGGACACATAGCTTAGAGAGATAGGTTTATTATCATAAAATAAGATGGCATTATTGTCCTAGTGGGACATTTTTCTGTGGCTGTACCATAGAGTTATCTCCTTTTAAAGTGTACATCTATGGGCTGTACAGAAATGGTAAAGAAGTGTGTACTTGTAGGCACTTAAACTTTTTAATTTCCTTAATTACCATTAAGTAACAGCAGGTGTACATTTGTTTGAATTTGTCGAAGCTAAACAAAACACAGTTTGTAGACACTTTGGGAGACAAATCTGTTGCCCCC